GAGAGTAACTCGCAGTGATGACAATCAGCTCCTCGAAAGCTGACCGTGCATGCTCCTCTCCCAAACAAACGACACAAATCGTGTGTATCCCCCGCCGCCAGATATCGTGGGCAGGGAGGAACACAGCGTTTGTAATGCCGTTCGCTCGCCATAGACTTTTTCATGATTGTTTTTTATATATGCTTGTTTACAGACAACAGTAAATAGACAGACACTTACACAAAGCGCTACTGAAGAGCAGAAGCTGGTTTGCGCTCTGCCGGATGCGCTTTTATACTTTCTGGTGCTTACGTCACCCCGCTCGTGATGTCTCGCTACTCCATTGGACTGATTTGACACGTGCTTCAGAACGCGGTCACGCAAGGGCGTTCCCAAAGCGACTTCGACGCAGCTCGAGTTCCTGAAGGGGAACTGTAATTAATCAATTTACATGTCAATAAGACAGACCTTTCTTCTCATCTAAGTGGTCAGTTCATGGACAGAATAAGCTGCAAAGGTCTATGTGAGACTAGTAGACAGAGCACCAACACGTCCTTTCGGCCGACATCAAAACCGACATCAAAGACCTAGTGACAATGAAAGCCGACTGTGTTGTCGCCTCATGCCTGCTTCATCTGAGCCAAAAAGTAGCACTTGAACACATTGCAAAGACTACAGGCAATGGTCAACTAGCAAATATGTTCTGCACTTGTGTGCGAGGAAATTGTTGTCTATACCAGCAAGTGGCAACAGTCTATATTCATCATTCAAATGGGGAAACTGAAACTAGTACTGCAGATATGCACTCACTGGCCACTTTATTAGCTACACAACTCACAACTGAGGCAGCAGCTCAATACATTTAGGCATGTAGACATGGTCAAGACAATCTGCTGAAGATCAAACAGAGCATCAGAATGGGGAACAAAGGTGATTTAAGTAACTTTGAATAAGGCATGGCTGTTGGTGCCAGACGGGCTGGTCAGAGTATTTCAGAAACTGCTGAGCAGTTGGGATTTTAATGCACAATCACCTCTAGGGTTTACAGAGAATGGTCTGATAAAGAGAAAATATGCAGTGTGTGAAGGTTTAATGGGTGAAAATAACTTGTTGATACCAGAGGTCAGAGGAGAATGGCGAGACTGGTTCAAGCTGATAGAAAGACAACAGTAACACTCATTACAACCGATGTATGCAGAAGAACATCTACACACAACACGTCGAACCTTCAAGCAGATGGGCTACAGAAGCAGAAGATGACACGTGCCACTCCTCTGGCTACTATTCAACCAAGCTCACCAAAATTGGACAACAGAAGATTGGAAAAAGGTGGCTTCATTTGATGAGTCTCGATTTCTGCTGCAACATTCGAATGGTAGGGTCAGAACTTGGAGTAAACAACATGAAAGCATGGATCCATCCTACTTTGTATCAATGGTTCAGGCTGCTGCTGATGTAATGGTGGGGGATATTTTCTTAGTACCAAATGATCATTTAAATGCCACAGTCTACCTGAGTATTGTTGGTGAGTATGTCCATCCTTTTATTACAACAGTGTACCCATCTTGTGATGGATACTTCCAGCAGGATAATGAGCTATGTCACAAAGCTCAAATCATCTCAAACTGGTTGAGTTCACTAGTCCACAGTCACCAGATCTCAATCCAATAGAGCACATTAAGGGACCGTAAATATATCAAAACATAATTTTTGATTAGTAATATGCAAGAACTTCATTTGGACAAATTTAATGGCAATTTTCACAATATTTTGATTTTTTTTTTTTTTTTTTTCACAACACGTCGAACCTTCAAGCAGATGGGCTACAGAAGCAGAAGATGACACGTGCCACTCCTCTGGCTACTATTCAACCAAGCTCACCAAAATTGGACAACAGAAGATTGGAAAAAGGTGGCTTCATTTGATGAGTCTCGATTTCTGCTGCAACATTCGAATGGTAGGGTCAGAACTTGGAGTAAACAACATGAAAGCATGGATCCATCCTACTTTGTATCAATGGTTCAGGCTGCTGCTGATGTAATGGTGGGGGATATTTTCTTAGTACCAAATGATCATTTAAATGCCACAGTCTACCTGAGTATTGTTGGTGAGTATGTCCATCCTTTTATTACAACAGTGTACCCATCTTGTGATGGATACTTCCAGCAGGATAATGAGCTATGTCACAAAGCTCAAATCATCTCAAACTGGTTGAGTTCACTAGTCCACAGTCACCAGATCTCAATCCAATAGAGCACATTAAGGGACCGTAAATATATCAAAACATAATTTTTGATTAGTAATATGCAAGAACTTCATTTGGACAAATTTAATGGCAATTTTCACAATATTTTGATTTTTTTTTTTTTTTTTTTGCACCTTCAGATTCCAGATTTTCAAATAGTTGTATCTCGGCCAAATATTGTCCTATCCTAACAACCATAAATCAATGGAAAGCTTATTTATTCAGCTTTCAGATGATGTATAAATCTCAATTTCAAGAAATTGACCCTTATCTATGGTTTTGTGGTCCAGGGTCACATTTGGGACGTGGTGGAACAGGAGATTTGTAGCATGGATGTGCAGCCGACAAATCTGCAGCAACTACATAATATTCTCATATCAATATTGTTAAAAATCCCTGAGGAATGTGTCCAGCACCTCGTTAAATCTATATGCCATAAAGAATTGAGGCATTTCTGAAGGCAAAAGGGGGTCCAAACGGGTACTAGCAAGGTGTGCCTGGTGAGTGTACAAAGTACAAACCATAAACAAAGCAGTGATTTGATCAGTTGACTTTGTCATTTGCTTGCTTGCTTCACTTTCGCTACTCTTCATGGGCACTGTTCGCTAAGCTGAACAGCCAATCAGAGTGATCTGTCTCACTGACTGCCCAATGCTGAATCAACTTGCTCAATCGGCCAAAAAGCCACCAATGAGGTCCAACATGTGGTGACAGTGCATATGTGGAACACACCACAAAAGTTGAAAGATGCTCAACAACGGCCCAACGTTGGACAACAGCGGACCGTCAACATGGTATATCAGGGCCTTTATATATACCAAGACATCAGCAATTATTAGTGCTGTATCTGGTATATTACACTGTACTGAAAGGCTTGAGAAGGAGTTTATAACTGTGGACAACCCTCCTGTTCTAATATTTCAGACGTCAGATGGTTAGCAGACCCACACTGAGAAGGTTTAACAATGGTTTAGTCTGATGATTCATAACTAATCTTTCTTCTGCACCACTACAGCTCACATTGAGAAACACCATGTCTTACAACAGCTCAATGACAAGTCAACAATAATGTATGTGAAAGAATGTATACTAATATATAGCTGGAAATTACTCATGCTGTTGTTCTTGTTGGCTATTTGCATCTTTGCTATTATAGCTGGGACACAAGGAATCTCTGAGACAAAAGACAGCAGATTACAGTAAGAATGAGTGTATTGCAGAAATGACCACCTCATATCAAAGTACCATGAGTTGTGTGTTATGTTTCATAAGAAGCAACATATTAAGCATAAAAGAAGGAAGTTTATAGTACAGCAGAATGCTAAAATAAGAAACAGCATGTTATGCTGCAGGAAGTGACATTATAGGGACAGAAGAGCAGGTTACTTATCTAAAGTGCCTCCATCAGCACAGCTCTTTACTTAAAAGGACGGGTAATTTAAAACATTAGAATGAGAATTAGAACAGGATGAGAGGAGAAAAGGCAAAACCCAAAGGCTAAATGTTCAATTGAGCCCACAGAGGAGGGAGGGAGAGGGACAAGATTTCCAATCCTCTTTGATGTGAATTCTTTAACTGAGGTCTGCTCAGCAACCGCTAGACAGCAGCTTAGAATTACCTTCTTTAGAGTCGGTCTGCTTTGGATGGTCAAGGTAATTTTGAGCCACTTGGCCTGCTTTGATCCTCCATGCCTCCTTCACAGATCCTAAGAATCTGGGGTCTGACTGATTTCATCAATACCGACTGAAGCACAGAGCTAGAAATCAGAGAGCGTGCTCATCTGCAATGAGCTGCCATGCCAGCTGACAGCCAGCGCTGTTGAAAGCACTTCCTTATGCTGACAGTCAGTCGCAGTGACTAGCTGCTAATAGGTTGAACATTTCATTCTCTCCTCTGTGCTCTCTGTTTTCTCTATACTTTGGTGCTTTTGAGGTTCTTTTCACACCGCTGAGCTGCAGTAAATGCAAGTAAATAATGACAAGTGCTTACACGACAACAGCTCAGCGAAAAAAGTGGAACATCCTCAGTTGATAAGATTATTTATAAGGCAATTACTTGGTTGGCAGTTTTCTGGAAACTCAGTTTTAAACATATCAAAAACCTATTGTTCTTGTCAGAATTATTCATTTGCGAAGTGCATCGGTTTTTAAACTAGAGACTAAAGTATATATTTTTGTGTTTATGCTCAAATGCATCACTTTTATTTCCCTTTATGTTGGACTACAAAGTACCAGACAGGTTGTTCACTTGTTTTGGTGGAGTAAATTGAACATATTCTGAATTCAGTCCTGGAGATTAAAGAAATATTCCATGTTCAATGCAAGTTAAGCTGAATTGACAGCACTTTTGATAATGTTGATTTCCACAAAAATGAATTTTAAGTCGTCTGGGTTACAGTGAGTCAACCCCCCCCAAAAAAAATAAAATAAAAATTATAATAATGATAATATATAATAATAATAATAATAATAATAATAATAATAATAATAATAATAATAAAGAAAACTACAGCAAATAAATGTTGCTCTTTTGAAATTTCTATTCATCAAGGTATCTTAATGCATCACAGTTTCTACAAAAATATTAAACAGAACAACCATTTTCAACATTTATAATAATAATAATAAATGTTCCATGAGCACCAAATTAGCATATTAGAATGATCTCTGAAGAATCATGAAGACTGGCGTAATGGTTGTGGAACATCACAGGAATAAATTACATTTTAAAATATATTGAAATAGTAATTGAATATTGTTAATTGTACCTGAATTGTAATATTTTACAATATTACTGTTTTACTATATTTTTGATCAAATAAATTAGGGATGCACCGATACCGAGCTCCTGTACTCGTACTCGTACTCGTTAAAATGCCCCGATACCAAACGCCGATACCACCAAAACTCAAAATTGTAAAAATAAGGCCATTTATAGGGGCATTCACTATAAACGTAATTTATTTTTAACCTTAGGCATACACGACTTTCTGTCGAAAGTGAATCTGGCAGCTTGTGTGAAATGCGTACTATTCTGCATCAGTACAAATACATGGGCATAATTAAGTGTGAAAATAACCAAAGGATATACAGTCAGACCAAAAATTATTCAGAGACCAGATATCATTTTTGATGATATACAGATATACATTTTTGATATTTTTTTATTAGTGGGTGCAGGACACTATAATTCATTTATGTAAGTGAGGATAGCAAAATAAAGTAAACTGTGACAAATTATACCCAAGATTTCACACACCGTGAACACACACCCAGAGCAGTGTGCAGCCATTTTTTGCTGCGGCGCCCGGGGAGCAGTTGGGGGTTCGGTGCCTTGCTCAAGGGCACCTCAGTCGTGGTATTGAAGGTGGGAGAGAGCACTGTACATTCACTCCCCCCACCTACAATCCCTGCCAGTACGAGACTCGAACCCACAACCTTGGGTTACGAGTCCGACTCTCTAACCATTAGGCCTCGACTTCCCCAAGTTGAAGTCAACCAACTAACATTATACATACTCTTTTGGTTTCTGTACCCAATATTTTAAAAATGTACAAATGCAATAAAAGATTGGTATCAGTACTCGGTATCGGTAAGTACCAAAAATAAAAGTATCGTATCGGGCGAGTACTGGAAAAAGTGGTATCGGTGCATCCCTAAAATAAATGCAACCTTGGTGAGCATAAGGGACTTCTTACAAAGACATTTTTAACATACTTCCGACCCCAGACTTTAGTGTGTACCCAATTTTACAACTAGGTGCCATGACAACATAACATCTAAAAACCTAAAATGATCATAAAAATCATAAGAACAAAATTTATAGCTCAAAAAACACACGTTTTAAAAGAAAAATATATGTAAGTGCATTTATAAAATTATAAGCTTCATATTTCTGCTTTAAATCCTCCATATATCCCTCATTCACTAACTTAACCTAGACAATTCCTTCGATGAGAAAACAAATTATGAAGAAAACTCTTAAAAACTTCATGCCCATATACTAACCCGATCTCATGAAAGTGCATATAAATAGTACGCCAAATAAAAACGAAAACTCGTGGAGTTAAAAAAAAGTCAATTTTTGCATATCAATACCACGAGTTTTCGATTTTATTTGGCGTACTATTTATACGCATTTTCATGAGACCGGGCTCCATATACTGTATATGTAAGCATACTAATGACACTAAAGCGGTGGACAGGATTTAATCGGGTTGAGTGTTTTTGGGAGTGGTCCGTGGTTCCCACAGTTTTCCATTTTACAGAGCGAGAGACAGTAATGGAGAGCGAGTGAGACAGGGAGAGACAGGAATGTTCCCAGCCTCCCATGCAGAGAATAGGGCAAGCAGAAAAGAAATGCTTTAAACTTCCACACAAACATGCAAGAAATCTGCAAAGAATTCTCCTCTGGGTGGCATTTGCACATTATTGGCTAATGAAACTCTGTCGTGTGCTGCTCGGTGCTTTGGAGTGCAGCCCTAATGCTAATTAATTGATTCCTAACAAAACTGCATGGCAATTACAACATTTCTGCAGAGCCGCACTCTGGTGTGCCGGCATGTACAACATTAATAGCATAACCTTCATTTGAAGAGAAAGAAGAATTTGAGATGTCTCAAAACAGCTTCTGCTCATTAAAGGGAAATCTGTTGAGTCTTCATTAAGGGATTTCTTCCCACCTTGTCCCCCGTTCACCGGAAAGCTAACAGAAACAGCTAAGAAAGAGCGCTTTATTTCCCTGAAGTAGCCTGTAAGTGAAAAGCTCCAAAGACATTTGTTTTAAGTTGTAAATGGTCAAGCATTCAATATTATTCTTTATTTTATATGAAAAGGGCGAAACTTTAAAGGCTGTTTTTATGCTAATGCAAAGCTTAATTGGCATTAGCAAAATTGCTGTGGCATGCTGAGGGGCTGTGAGATTAGCTAGAGAGAAAGAGCGAGATAAAACCTTCAAAAGGCCTATTTCAGAGGAATTATGGGTTTCCTTTGAACATCTTCCAAGATTTAAATACATTAAAAGCCTGTTGGCATACATGTAAATTAAGCAGTACCAAAGCGTTCCAAAGAATTCATGCCGGATAATGCCAAGGGTGGGAGGACAAATAAGAAAGGGCCTGATCACAGGGGAAGTGAAGCCAGCGATCCCTCCACTGCCTGGAATCCCTCTCAGCTCATGCATTCTTCCTCCCGTTGTCCATCGCTCTTTCTCTCTCCTTGTCTGTCTGCAGGCCAAGTGGCTTAAGAGATGAAAAGGCAGCAGAGTGGTGAGCGATCCCAAAGAGATAGATTCATCTGAACCCACAGCTCAATGACAGAGTATCACAAACACACACTATCAGACACAAAAGCCCATTAACACCACTCAGTCAAGAGCAGTCACAGCAAGCCTTGCAGTGAGAGTTCAAAACACACACACACACACACACAGTTAAAGGAAGTCTTCAAGCATCTGTTGTGAGTTACCTGTCCTGAAGCTGATTGACAAACGCAACTCATATGGATGTAAGGCACATGCACTGACTGAGTATCTAAATTCCAGATCCCAGAAAGCTTAGACTAATTTGAATTAACTAATGTTTGATGATATTAGTAGTAGCAGTAAAAATGCACATTATTTCATCATAAAATATTAAACTACACTGCCGTTCACAATTTGGTATCAGTAAGATTTTTAATGTTTTTTAAAGAGACGTTTCTTATGCTAATCAATGCTGTATCTCTTTGATCAAAAAAAACATGTAATTTTGTGAAATATTATTGCAATTTAAAATAACAGTTTTCTATTTTAATATACTTTATTACTCCAGTCTTCAGTGTCATATGATACTTCAGAAATCAATATGCTGATTTATAATCAATGTTGGAAACAGATTTGCTGCTTAATATTTTTTGGGGCCTGCTGATACTTTTTTCAGGATTTTTTGATATAAAAAGTTAAAAAAAATTTAAAAAATTAGTGTTTATTCAAAATAGAATTTTTGTGTTACAATATACACTACTATCCAAAGGTTTGGAGTCAGTAAATGTGTTCTTTTTTTTTTTTAAGAAATTAATACTTTTATTCAGCAAGGATGTTTTAAATCGATAAAGGAAAGTAAGAATACAAGACTCACAAAAAAACATTAAAGATTTTACTGATCCCAAACTTTTGAACGGCAGTGTTGATTAACAATGTATTAGTCCAAATGTTTTCTATCACAGATACCTGGGTAAACTCTCTGGCCAATTCAATGTAAATCCAATGCAATGTTCTTGGCCTTTGGTAAAATCAGCAGTCTAACAAGCTCTGGCATTGGGAAAATATCAAAATAATACTGCCAAAAAATATACTAGAGTTCAAGATATTTTAGGGATCTAAATGAAACCTACACAGAGACATAACTGACCAAATGAAGTATAAAAATGGTTTGTTATGAACACATTTATTAGCAAGAACCTTACAATAGTCTTGCTAAATGCCTCCAATACTAAATTATTATTTTAAGATGAGTTACTGCTAAGATTGTGTTCAGCTTTTTTAAAGAATTTAAATGATTAAATCAGCATATTGATTTTGAGGTCCTTGAGTCAAAGACCAATGAAAAGTGACAGGCAGATTGTAATCAAATAGTCTATTGCTATCAATTAGTCACTCAGATGCTAGCACCCTCTATTTAGCTACATCAGAGCATTTCACTGCAACTGTTGCATCATGTTGCACAGGAAGTTAAAAAGTTAAAGTTTTAAATCTCTCTAATCACACAGAAAGAGACACACACAGAAGCATTGTGCTTCTGTACAAAACAAAGACCCAGTACCTTTAACAGCTAGAAATACTCCTGATGTGAGGAATGACATCCTTAGCCCGTGACCTCTATCAGAGCCCTGAAAGGAATAGCATGCATTTCACGTCCCTGTGCTAGCAGTTACCTCACCATAGCACTTTAATGCTAATTTAATCAGGACAACAACAAACAGATACCTACATAAGAGGAAGAGAGGAAACATTCTTTTGGTAAGTCATTAGCAATACTGCAAACATGCAAACACTAACAAACACCCAGCCTCATTCTCACACATACACACTGATATACAAATACATGCTACTGATGACATCTGAGTTCTGAAGTTTTGTAAATGTGGGTGTTCTTATACAAAGTTCTTATACTTACACGAGTCAAAATCTTTGCTTCATTTCCAGACTTGCTGGAATCCAGCAGTGATTGGAAAGACTCTGACACCTCAAGCAGGCCACAGCACTTAATATAAAGTCAAGAAGATTTAGATCAAAAGGTTAGTGAGGAGAAAAAAAAATGAAAGGGCAACTCAAATGAAAAATATTGCCTTTGCAGTTTTTAAGCTGCATGAGTTTCTCGGCTGATGTAAGACTCTGTTGGTTTCTTCATAGCTTCTGAGCCAGCGCCAAATTAGATTCTGCTCCGTCTGACCATGCAGCCAGCCGAGAGAAAGTCTGGCAGATTCATAGATGTGCTATGAGAGTGGCCCATTACAGCTGTCAAAGTGGGGGATTTGTATAATATTAATTATTTTGGCTTATGATGATAGGCCTGTGTGGACTGAAGCCTTGTTGTTTGACTTGTGTCAAAGCGAGGACAAAGAGGACTGTGAATCTGCTTTCTTTTAAGACTTAATCAAAAAGCATTCTATGAACCTCATCTTCTGTTGCTCTTCTCTTTGTCCAGGACACTCGTTCTCACATTTATTTATTTTTTTCCCCTCTCCAAAGTACTCTTTAAAAACAGCTGGAGTGCTTTAAGATGCTCTCAACCACCTGGTGAGTATGAGACAGCTAATTGGTCAGCTCTTGCTGATATTTTATCATCAGCAAAACAAGCATCAAACAAAATCAAATCAAAAAAGAGAAAAGCAAACATAAAGCAGCAAACTGAAATCATGGGGTATGTCTGGAGTCATATTGATACTGTTTACCGGCCCAGTTGTGCAAATGACAGCTAAGTTAATTAGCCCATGCCAAGCTTTTAGGCTCAGCCAAAACATTTAGCACAGTAAGGTGAATATTTCCCTTTGATTTGGATTGATTTGCTAAGACTGTATATGGTTCGCATCAAATCCCAGTTTGTCAAATCTCACATTTGAAGAATGTCAAAACAAAGTGTTAATGAAATTATAGTAATTAACTTTTATTTATTTGACAAGTGAAATTATTTAAGAATTATATTAAATTTAAAAGGTTGGTTGACCCAAAAATGAAAATTCTGCCATCATTTCCTCACCATCATGTCCAGTCCTACAAGGCTTTCAATCATTTTCGAAACACAAACACACAAAAAAAAGTATTTGCAAGACTGCAGTCCCTCCGCACATCCTGATTTTGCTGAGTTAGATGTGTTCCTAGGTCAACATATTTTGTTGACCCTGAAACAACATTGTAATCCAAAAATGTAGTCTTGACCAAATCCCTACACCTAAACCTAACCTTAACCATGAGTAATCCCTAAAATCAGAGGAAATGATAGATGAATGACACTGATGTACAAGCACCAAACACAGATTGTAAGCCTAAACTTCATAAAAACTATAAACTGGTTCTTCACATCTGATTGATCTGTTGATCTAGGAACATGTCGCACTTGGTAAAATCAGGTTCTGCCAGTCCCTCCATTTAGAGTCCATTTAACTAAAACTGACAACTCAAAAACTGATTTATATGATGAACAGATTACATTTAAGCTTTTATTCATATATCAACATTGATCAACGCATCGCATATACATTGATCACATAAAATATGGTAACCGGAATCAAAGAGCTATAGCTCTTCAATACAGTTGCACTTTGATTAATGTGCCTCAACCAACGTTTATAAATGAATAGAAGCCTAAATTAAAATCTGTTCATCATAAAAATTAACACTCTATTCTATGTTTATGTTTTAATGAACTTTTAATGAATTGTGAAGTTTTGGTTGCATGGACTTTCAATTAAGGGACAGAAATGTCTCAGAAAATGTAATTTGTGTTTCTATGGATGAACTAAAGTCATACAGTTTCAAAATGACATAAGGGTGTGTAAATGATGACAATTTTCATTTTTGGGTGAATTAACCTTTTAAGTTTGTATGAAGTAATGCGTTCCCTTTGAGTCTTAGGAGCCTGGTACTGAAAGGGAAGAAATAATGTGCTGCCAAGCCATGTAGACCCTTAAAAACAAATAAGGGTCTTGAATGAATCTATAATGACTTGAAGACATGCCATTACAGTAGAGATTAGTCTCTTGCAACAGCATTTTAACTGAAAGCCTGACATATATGTGTTTATGAAACATCCATATGACACATTCATTGAATACAGGCTCATTACATACCCTGTTGATATAATTTGTTGAACTGATATTCAATACACTGTAGCAAAATATGTTTTTATTAATGGACTAAAACTGTAACATTTAGAATAGATGAGCCATACTTTTTGAATACAAACCTGTTATCACATTCCTTGAGATTGTGCCATCCTACAAATAACATTATTCTCAAAATCTATAACAATATCTCATTGCATGTTCTCAATTTTTACACTGCATTCATTAAACTCAAACATTTAATCCTGTTACCCGAACTATTGTATTACTGCAAACCCTATAGAAATCGAATAGAAAAACAGAATCAAATAAATAAAATCAAATATAAAATTAATATTTCTTGCTTTTGTGTTTAATTTAGAGAATCTGACCCCAGTTTTTTTTACATATCTTTTAATTTTGCATATTTATAAACTACATTCTTGGAGCATAGTTTTTTCATAGTAGTAACATTTTTCTTTATGCAGACTGCAGAATAATTAATCCAATAATTAAATAGAAATAAAGAATTAAAACCGCTATCGTGGCTTACAGTATAAGAGCTTAGAAGATTTTTCACAGGTATATTTGAAGATGCCAAATGTGAGAAGTCATGTAACAACTGATGAACTGTTTTAACTGAAATCAAGTTTTCAAAGCAGGATTCTTATCAAAATAATTTTGGAACAGAGAGCAATGAGACAACAGATAATTAATATATTAATAAAGTCTAATAAATGAAGCAGGTTACTTTCTCCCTCTTTCCATCTGACTGTGAATGTTTTATATGGCAGATGGTCTCTGCTCAATGCATTCCTAGTCAAAGACATTTGAACAGATCTCTCCCAGTGCCAACATGTGTGTGGTCAGATATCTGATACCTATAACACATACACACATGGGTCATATTAGGATCGGTTAAAGGATTAGTTGAAGTTTGTCATCGTTTACTCACCCTCATGTTTTTCCAAACCCATATTATACACAGCAAGTTATCAGGCAGAATATTTGGCATTTTAGCTAGGGGGACACAATGCCCATTCGGTTTTTTGAATGCCTGTCTGTAACCTGTTCCCTGTAGCTTATGGCAATAATAAATAAAATATGTTCAAAAACAATAAAATAAATGTAGTAATTATTGGAAATGAGATTGATTTACCAGCGAGTAAAAAAAAAAAGAAAAAGCTTTTAAAGTTTTACAGGTATATCACTCTAAGTTTTTAGGAAAAATTATCCTTTTTTTCTTACAAATCCCCCCAAAAACTCATGTTTAATTGCTGAAGTCATGCTGAACCCCTACATTACCCATAATACACAATACCCAAAGAGAGATCCAAATCAGATTAGTCTGTTTGCCTGAAAATATACTATTTATAATGCCTCATATGAGTTCACTCACTCTATAATACATATATAATAGATACAATACATATCTTTTGGTGTTGTCTCTTATGTATCCCCTTAATATCCCCTTATTTCAACACACACATATACATATATATACATGTATACTGTATATATTTAGTTAGGTCCATATATATTTGGACACAGGCATATTTTTTTACTATTTTAGCTGTTGACCAAAACATATTCAAGTTACAGTTATATAATGAATATGGGCTTTATGAAATGAGCTTTAATTTGAGGGTATTCTCATCACAATTGGAGGAAAGGTTAAGGAATTACAGCTATTTAATATGTACCTCACCCTTTTTCCTAGATTCATTACATGTAAAGTAAAACATTTCAAAAGTTTTTTTTTTAAATTTTGATGATTAGAGCTTACAGCTCATGAAAGTCAAAAGAGATAATCCAGTATCTCAAAACATTACAATATTTATATTTGAGTTTCATTAAATGGCCGTCCCTACAGTATAAATTCAGGGTATCTCTTGTTCTTTGAAACCACAATAATGGAGAAGACTGCTGACTTGGCAATGGTCCAGAAGACAATAAGTCACAGAAGGTCATTACTGAAAGGGGAGGCTGTTCACAGAGGGCTGTATCAAAGCATATTAAATGCAAAGTTGACTGGAAGGAAGAAATTGGGTAGGAAAAGGTGCACAAGCAACAGGGATGACCGCAAGCTTGAGAATACTGTCAAGCAAAGCCGATTCAAACACTTGGGAGAGCTTCACAAGGAGTGGACTGAAGCTGGAGTCAGTGCATCAAGAGTCACCACGCTCAGATGTCTTCAGGAAAAGGGCTACCAAGCCACTTCTGAAACAGAAATAACGTCAGAAGCATCTTACCTGGGCTAAGGAGAAAAAGAACTGAACTGATGCTCAGTGGTCCAAGGTCCTCTTTTCAGATAAAAGTAAATTTTGCATTTCATTTGGAAATCAAGGTTTGGAGTCTGGAGGAAGACTGGAGAGGCACGGAATCCAAGCTGCTTGAAGTCCAGTGTGAAGTTTCCGAAGTCAGTGATGATTTGGGGTGCCGTGACATCTGCTGGCGTTGGTCCA